AAAAAATAGAAAAAAGTTTTTGCTTATTATTTTATAAAAATCATATCTTTGCTTCCATAAATAGTTTTGAATCAATAATTATTTTAAATCTTAAAAATGAATATTAAAAATTAGATAAATTGAAAGAAAAAAAAAGAAGAAATTATTTTAATTCCTGAAGTATGGTTCAAATTGAGGAAAACATGCCTTGTGCTCTCCGCAACATGCCTTGAACCACAAATTCGAACCATACTTGAGGCTTTAAAATAATTGCTTCTTTTTTAATTGAAAATTAGTATTGATCACATCCCAAAAAACTGCCCTTAACTTTCCTAGCGAATAAAATAAATTTTGTCATAAACACAAAGTTATTCCTCAATCCTCCTTTTTGGAAACGAGAAGAAATTCATTACTTCAATAAAGGCACTAAGTATATAGAAGTCACTATAAAGCGGTGTTTTTTCTTTTGTCCACACAAAATCTTTCTTCCTCAAAGGCAAAAGATCACACTGCACAAAATCTTTCTTCCTTAGCGCTGCTGCGTTGGAAGTAACATATATGTGCCGCGAAAGAGTTCAAAGAATCCACGGAAATTTGAGGAAGGGCCGCGAAAGCTGACTTTCGATTTCGAAGACTGTGGCGGCGACTGATGTCATATATACGTTTTTCACTTTTCAGCTCCAAAAAACAGGAAATGGATCCAAAAGGTGCACTCTCCCCGACGTACGGAGTACAAAATACTCTTGAATCCTTCGCGGTAATTCTACTAATTTGTAAAAATTGGTGCTCTAGTGTACAAAAATGAATACTATCATTTTACAAGTCAATATGGTTTTTTTTTTTTTTAATGTTACGCTTCACATATTAATTAATGTGAATTGTATTCAACTATGACTGCTAACAAGAATTCATTTTGGTCGTTGTCCTGGTTATTATTCAGGTAGTAAAATCATATTTGAATCAAATTTAAAAATATGAAGCAGACAAATATAGGTGGTTGGTCATTTTGTTTAATTTGGATCCGCCGTCTGATCTAATATATTTTGCAAATACGTTTATTCTCTTGAATTTACTAATAATTAATATAACTCTAGAATTGATCGACATGCATCTAAACCTAGTCGTACCAAAGAAATGAGTTTCTAATTTCTTGCAAACAATTTTCACGATTCTATGTTTTCCTTGCTCCGTGGTAAAACATATTTTTTGGTCAAATGTAGAAAAATTCTAAATCAAGTGCGGGTCAAGGAAATCAAGCTCGTGTAGCTTCCATTGAAATGTGGAACCGGACACCAAAAACAAAAACTAACAGGCAAAAACATCCGCCCCAGAACAAAAAACCAAAATACAAAAAACATACGCAAAAGAAATCAGGAGCCATGAAGATATAATGGTAAGGTGGCAGCAAACCTGATTTGACTACGCGCTCCGGGTCCCCTTTGGAGACTATTTTTTCGTGGTTTATGCCTTTATTTATGCCCATTGAATTCGAGTGTTGAACCCCAAAAAAAAAAACAAAAACTGTAGCTTTCTTCTCAAAAATAGTAATACGTCTTCGATCGTGAAACTCCTAATTCATGCAATACATTATGCTTATTCAATCCTGAATGTTCTAATAGATTCAAGCCCGGAGAAGACAAGCCCGGAGGCATATACAGATTAAAAAATGGTTTCACTCGGAGACTTTTCCATGCATGGTATGTTTATAAATTCTAAAGACTAATTGAGGGGTTGACGTACTACAGGTACATGTCCTTGAATTCAACTGCGTATTCGTGTCCTTGCTTGCGTTTGCTTAGAAAGAGAAAAACTTCTCCTCTATTTTAGACTTCAAACTCGATTACCTCACATGTTACACATCAGGAACTCGCATGATAGTCTTAAAAATTTATCCAATAGAATCACCATCCAAATCTTTAGCTTTGCACGACGGAATTATGCGTTATGTAAAATGTATTTAGTGAATATAAACAGATGTATACACATATGAATCACGAATTCTTTGACAATAGATCTTGTTTCAAACTATGAAGTATGAATATAATTGTCTCCATCTACCCTGCACAGGTTAGTTTTGTTCGTGATCAGGCGTGAAGTTGGCTATATTGCCAAAGTCTGTAGTTGGAACATTATACCTTGTATCTATTAGCCGCTGCAGTTGTAAATCACTACAATGTGAATAAAGAAGTTCGGAACCTGATTAAAAAGACTTGACTCAAACTGGATTATGAATGTTGACTTGAAAATCTGACATCTTTTTATTGTTGTTCTTGAGAGTCTTGACTAGAAGAAGGGGCGTATTTATTAGCCCCAGAAAGACTGGGTTCCATCAAATAGCTCTCACACACCAAAAAAAAAAAAAAAAAAATTGTAAAAGAAGGATTAATTTTGACTTTCAAGAAAAAAAAAATGTAATGATGCGCTTTTACTTTGTGTTGAATGAATGATAAAATATAGAATCATCCAAAAGTATGCATATATGATTCAACAGTTTGAAGATTTTTTTTTTTTTTTTTTAAATAGAGGAAAGGTAGGAATTAAGAAGCAAGAAAGGAGAAGGAAAATTTGAACCCAGAACTTCTAAATCTTAGAACTCAACCTTAATGATCACTATAATCAACTTTCATTCAGATCTTCTTTTACAAATCAAAATATATCAGTGTTTGTCTCCAAAATATCACCAAAACTTAATTAAGTACCACGTCCCAAGATTTACAGCGTTAACTGTGCCTACGACTTTGAAATTAATCAGAGCTCAGAAAGGGACATCAGACTCATCTTAGTCAACAAAGATATATGTATGTATGTATATATTTTTTCAGTGAAACTCATGAGACTTGGTAAAAGAAGCTAGAAATCAAAATGGTTCTCGAACATGCACGAAATTTGGGTCATTTGGTTGCATGGCAGACCAAAACTAAGGCCTTGTTATTGAGTCCTTCCTCAGTTCACACCTTCATATTTATATCAGACGGTTGCTTGGGACAGATATCAGGTACAGTCGTCATAGATCCATGGTTCTACAGGTTAAGTTTACTGTTTGGTGGTTTGGTTAATTGATAGAAAAAAAAAAAAAACATGTGAGTATGATCGAGAAAAGAGCTTAGGATTAAGTATGTATGTTGCTTCAAGGTGATCATCTCATGGATTTGTGCACGTCAAAGAACTAAATGAAGTAGAGATTCATATTCATCAGCCATAAGAAAGTTTGCAGAAGAAGGATGAAATGAACCAGATAAATCAGTTGGATAATAATTAATGTCCGTCCGTCCGAGTTCAATGGATAAATAACTTATAAGCCTCGTCCGAGCGTGTACAAGGAATTTGGCATCACTTGAGTTTTCTGAGAGGTTGAAATGGTCTGGAAAGCAATGCTGGAGGAGTTCAGGCCTTTCATGGTTTTGAGGCCTTGTAGTACAATTAACTTGGCCCAGAAACTCATTCTCCCTCGCATACTCATCAAATTCAATGAAAACAGGACGACATTTTGGGAGAGCAAATAGTAAGCCAGGTCAAGATGCCATGGGTAACAAACATTTATTCAGGATTTTGAATCGAGTTGATGGACAAAATAAGACAGTTTCGTTTGTAAGAAGGATTTATAAGTAATTTTAAGTTAAAAAATATAAGTAAAAATTAAATAATTTTATAATTCGCTTTTGAGTTAAACTTACTATTTAAATTCGTTGAAAGTCAAGGTCGAACTTGATTTTCACGAGCAAAGCAAGTTTTTTTTCTTATATGATGAGTTGGGTGCCAAGCTACTCGCTAGTAGTTTGCATTCACTTGCACCCTAAGTAATATCAGTTGATAATATTTTAGGATCAAAGTTAAAATTTTTTCAAGATTGGGTAAAAACGTTAGCGTAAAAACTCAAATGAATCTCTAATTTTAAGCCATCTTTGAGGGAAAGAAAAGAAAAATGTCCTGTCTAAGCCCGCATTTGTAACTCCTGTATGTCGAAATTGAAGTCCACTATTTTACACCAAAAATGATCATAATTACTCACTTGCTAAACAATGCAAAGAAAATCACAAAAAATTTTGAGAAAATACTAGGGCTGCAAGATTGATCCGTTCAAAGGATAACCAATCAAGCATTCCAGACTGCATGATGCAGGGAAAAAATTTTGAAAACAAAAAAACAACTTGCTACTTTCTCCTTTTTATCCATCTACTGTTTTCTCCAGTTTATCTATCCACGGTTGATTGTTTTTATTTATGATAATAACAATTTATCCCCTTAAGGTATTCCGTGATTCTCACTTTTCCTCTAACATTTATTTTTTATCACTTAAATCTCTAAGAGACAAAAATATCGCTCTATTATGCTAAGTTTTTAATTTTCAAATTTTTTTGCTTTCCTTAATTATTGAACTTTAACATGCAATTTGATATTGACCACTCTAATTGATGGTAATAAAGTTTCGTATGAGATGAGCATACAAAATTAGGGAATACATTAATAATTGATTAATTTTTAAAAACTGGCAAATAAAAAAGATCCTAATAAGCAAGAACTTATTACAGGAAAATCAACAAAAAAAAAAAGTCCAATACCAACATGTGAAGGTGTAATTGTAAAAATGGGTAATTGACTGTGAATAGTGTAATTATAAGAAAATAGAATATATTTTTTGCTTGATTTCTTAAATTTGAAAATAGATGAAATTGATTTGTAAAAAATATGCAGTTTTTTTAATTTTGTAAATTAGGGAACAAACATCCTAAAATTTTTTGTTAGAGAAATATATTATTTTCTTATAAATAAAATTTTGAAAAAAAGAAAACTATTTTGGAACAAAAACAAGATTAGAGACAAATAAAAAAAAAAGGAAAACAACTATATGGCAAAGGGGTATTTTTATCTTTTAGGGGTTAAGTGACACAAAATGAAAGTTAAGTGAAAAATCAGGATATGACTTTAGTGGGTAAATTACAATTAACCCCGTTTCTGAATTTTACCAACCCCCTACGGAAAAAAAAAAAAATGGAGACTCTACACTTAGCAGGGAGCACTGCTTAGAGGGCCACGGAAATGGCTGGCTTCTGAATTGAAGACTCCAAATTTCATAAACCCTTCGTGGCCTCGTGCTTCTTAAAACCCAAACTAATTTGCTCTCGCCTTCTGTCACTCTCTCCCTCCAATCCAAAAAATGAACATTCTTTTCCCCAATCCCCTTAGTCAGCTCTCAAAATCTGCTTCGCAGAAAATGTTTACGCATTTCTTTTGCACAAGATCACCAAAATCCCTCGACCGATCTCACCCTTCAAACAATCTTTACAAAAGAATTTCACCTCTGGGTGATCCAAAAATCTCAGTGGTGCCTGTGCTTGATCAGTGGGCTGCCGAAGGAAGACCTGTCCACAAAGAATATCTAGAGAGCATCGTAAAGGAATTGAAAGCATACAAAAGATACAAACATGCCCTCGAGGTTTTGCATTCTTTTTCTCTTGCTTCCTTGCCATTTTCTTGTACTGAAATGCAATTTCTGTATTGTTTTCCTGTTTCCGTTGGGCTATATGCTTGTGGATATTTTTCCTATTATGAGTAAATGCGTAAAATTTTTTGAAAAGAAATATGGATAATCATACTTGGTTTCCAGAAATATAGAAGTTAGATTTTTCAATAATCAACTTTTAGTTAGGGTCGACTGCCAGGAGATCGACGTTACTATTTCTCCTTTTTTTCACCTTCCGCAGCTTATTTTTCTTTTCCTCATCCATTTGCACATCAAGCAACATTGTCGCAGACCGAATGAAACAGTTTGGATTAACCTTGGACCTTTCATTGGACTTGATGGTTGCGAAGAGTAGGAGGTCAAAAGCCCAAATTTGGCGTACATTAAATTCATGGGCGAAGTATTGTTTGCACCTTATTATCATGCACTGCCTGAGAATAAGAACCGTGAATCATATGGACACTGCTCCCAGTAAAGCGACCAACTTAATTGAAGAAAACTTAAGAAGCATTCTGTTTCAAATTTGTGAAACATACCATGCATCCAATTGGAGTTCCAAATACTTAAATCTAGAATATGGAGCAACTAATTATGGAACCTACACAATTACTAGCTTGAAGCCCGGTCCGTGTATGAACCTTCCGCACTTTATGTAACTCCTTTTGTGTGATCATCATGCTTCTGTAGGTGTAGTCATTGTCGCAGATATATCTGAAAATTGAAATTACTGAATTTTAGCTATTTGTGAAGCTTGATCTTGGCACCTGACCAGCCAGTTTTCTATTATTTCTTTCTTAAATGGGCTCGTGTCTTTCCTTAACAAACTTTAGGTAGAAAACTAGAAAATTTCTTTAGCATATTCAATCACATGAAGCTATAGAATAGTTTGTACTGGTAAAGAAACCATCTATGGTGGCATGATAAAGCAGCACAGTGGCAAAGTTGTAGCTGTGACAGAATGGCTGCTATCTCTCCTTTGGTCCGTACTCAGTACAATTGAATTATAGGTGGATTCATATGCCTGTCAGGTTGATCGGAAGGGGGAAGGATAAAATAACTTGCTTTTTGATTCTTCCTTTCCTTCTGACTAGAGCAGTATCATGAGAGGTGTTGCTGTGACTAGGAATTGAATTCTCGAGATGTTGATGGGGATGGTTGATATGCTTGCTTGAAGTTCAGTTGTTAACTCAGTAGGGGTGAGGTGAATATAACATTCTCTGTATGTTGTGAATGTTAGCCAAATTTAACCTTCTTATGCAGCAGGGCATCTGCTTTAAGGAACGAATCTGAATGAAAATGGACTCCTAATGTTCTTATGTATGATATTCCTAAATGTAGAAAGTACAAAAAAATTTTATAGTCATGTTGCCTTCATCTTATGATTCCATTCTGTATCAAATTTATGTTTAGGTATCACGGTGGATGACCGAAAAAAGATACATGCCTTTGAGAGAGCTGGATGTTTCCATTCAAATTAATTTGATTCACAGAGTACATGGCTTGAAGGAAGCTGAGAACTGTTTCAATAATGTCAGTAGTAAGCTAAAAGGCTTTAATGCTCACATAGCCCTCCTTAACTGCTATGTCCATGAAAAATCAGTGGAAAAAGCAGAGGCCTTAATGCAGAAAATGAGGGAAATGGGGTATGCTAATTCACCACTACCCTACAATCTCATGATGAATCTCCATTATGGCTTGGGAAACTATAAGAAGCTAGATGATCTAATGAATGAAATGGAAGGAAGGGGAATTAAATTTGACCCATTCACCCTCACCATCCGGTTAAGTGCTTATGCGGCTGCTTCTGATGCTGAAGGTGTAGATAAAATTGCTAAGATGATGGAAATTGATCCGCTGATTGTTCCAGACTTTAGTGTCTATGCTGTTGTAGCCCAGGGGTACTTAAAAGTTGGTCAGTTGGATAAAGCTTTGCCAATTTTGAAGAAAATGGAGGAATTAGCAGTAACCACAAGGAAAGGAAAATTTCCGTATGATTTCCTGCTCAAATTGTATGCTGGAATGCAGAGGAGAGATGATGTGCTCCGAATATGGGAAATGTACAAGCAAAAACAGAAGATCAATAACAAGGGTTACATGACCATGATGAGCTCACTACTGAGCTTTGGCGATGTTGGAGGCATTGAGGACATCTTTAAAGAATGGGAATCGAGGGGATTATCCTATGATTTTCGGGTTCCAAATGTTTTGATACATGCTTATTGCAGAAATGGGGAATTGGAGAAGGCTGAGGCCCTTATAGACAAGGGGTTATCAGAAGGGGGTGAACCTTTTGCAACAACATGGTTTTATATGGCACTTGGATACATAAAGGATAATCAGATTTCAAAAGCTGTGGAAGCATTGAAGAAGGCAATCTTGAAATGCCCTCCTGATCACAAGCCTAATACAGAAACATTGAACACCTGTCTGGAACATATGGAGAGGGGGGATGTGGAAAAGTCAGAGGAGTTCATAAAGCTTATAAAGAAAGAGAGCTTATGTTCACTGGCTGTTCAAGATAGCTCCATGGATTTTATCAAGTCTGGTGAATCTCAATCTTGATTGCATGGCTGATATTGAAGAAATGGCAGCATCAAGTTTTCAATTTCTTGAACGGCATTACATTATGAAGAGCATATATATAATGATACATACACCTTGCTGATTGGGTTTTCAACCGCTCATGATAGCTCAATTTCAGGTAATGTTTTCGAGGCTGCCTAGTACATTTGATTCAATTCCTTGTAGTGTCACTTACTGCGGTTAGTCATCACTCACCAGGTAAATATGCAGTTATTCAACTCTTCATATTATGTTAACAGCCTTGTTGTCACGGCGAAGTGGTTTAGTAGCAACATAGACTTCACTTTAAGGTGTTTAAGCAGTTATTTGACCCCTAACTAGCCTCTTGGGGATCATATATATTGCTGTTTGATATGACACCTTTATTTTCCGTACTCTAGATATCAGAACATTCCAAGTTAGGTATGGAATTGACGCGAGATATATTGTACTTGGGTGGGTTTGACACTTATCCAAAAATGATGAATTGAATTTTTATCAAGTGGTGAACAACTCTTGTACCCCTAGGCGTGGAGGGATTCTCTCACTGCCTGCCAACACCTGTATATCAGATTTCACATGGGAGTCCTTGTCAAATGTTTAAGAGGTGAATCCTCCTTGCATGCCCTACAATGCCCGATCTGATTCTTGCATCTGCCTTCATCAATGAACGTGGTACAATCAACCACTAGTAATTTCATTTTAGTCCCTACATATCAAGGGCCAAGCTACAGCTTCTTGATTGGGATAAGTAGTTTATTGTACTCTGGTTCGACTCTCATGGCCCATGAAATTATGTCTCTCAATTATGTAATATGAAGAATATTCAACCTGAAAAAGCTTCCAACCAAGAGATAACCTGAGAAGGGTATCAACTTGATAATTCAAGATGTCCTTTTTCCAGCTGAATCAGCTTGATGCGTAGCTTACATCATTCTGGCAAATCCATTATTCTTATCCGAAAATGGATGCAATTGTATCAAATGCTGACAATCCATTTGTCAGACACTGAAAGATTTGCAACGCTGATCATCTGCTGTGATAGGATATCATGTAAAATGAGAAGAAAAGTATGAAGATGACAATTTGCGATTTGGGCTCGTTTTGCGCAATCTTTGAAGAGAATTAGAGCTTCCAATGCGCAACATTTTGGCTTCTTGTGTCTTCCATTTCAGTACGAGATCTATAATTATTATTGTTCAGTTCAATCGATCCTTGCTATCAGAGACAGGACTTCTAAAGAAAATGCTAAAAACCGAGGGGGTAGTTGGATTATGGAACTAACTTGGGGGTTTGGTACATTGGATGAAACTTTTTTAGAATGGCCACACATCTATGCAAAAGGATAAGTTCACAGTGGAAGTTTATCAAACATTCACTCCATTTGGATTAGCTATTTTTAAAATTGTTTTTGAAATATTTTACTGTAATAATGTATATAAAAAATTTTCACTATAAATGTTTTTTGTGATATTTTTGAAATACATTTTTTGAGATATTTTTAAAGTTAAAATATATTTTAGTGTATTTTTTAAAAATTAATACTATCACTCGCCACCTCCGCCACCTCTTGCCAACTCCTCCTCCTCTTTTCTTTTTCTCCTCCCCTCCTTCTTTCTCGTCCTCCCTCTTCCTCATCCTCCCTTCTCCTTTCCTTCCCTTTTCCTGCCATATCCCCGTCCCTCCCCTCCTTCCCACTCCTTGATCTAGTCATGGACAGTTCAGGGAGGGGGAGGCAGGGATTGTGGCGGGAAAGGAAAGGGGAAGAGAGAAGGGGAGGAGAAGAGGAGGAAAAAGAAGGTAGAAGAAGAGAGAGGATATTTTTAGAGTTATTTTTGTTTATATATTACTATAATATAATATATGAAAAGCTTGTTGTTCAAAAAATGGGAAATCCAAATAGAGCCATATTATTATGAAATACAGCAAATATGAAAGGGTTAAATTGAAAAAAAAATACATGGACCACAAAGTTATAAAGAACATGAGAAATCTATAAGCATGATCCATATCCAAAAAAAAAAAAAAAAATCTTCAACGCATGATAATGATTGATGACTGCAAAATAATTCCATCACATAAGGTGCACAACACACCAACATCTAGATAAAGAGTGTTGAACGACCTATGATCTGCCGACATTTTTGGTATGTTAACTATATGATAAGTAAGAGTTTAATCTAACATCAGAACTAAGCCTATGTTCGCATCATTTATAACATTTAATCAAACCCGTGCTAAAGCTCCACTAGAATCCTTTTGATCTTTGACCGCAATTTCGCTCGACTTTCTTGGTTGGAGATCAAGAATTTCGCCATTTTAATTAACCCCTTCATTCTCCTGAGAAATAAACAATCGTAAGAGAAAAGGCAAACGGAGCTAGGGAAAATTAAACTTAGAGCCAAAAACTATAAGCTCCAAGAAGGTCTCCTAATTAACCAAAGACCTAGTGCAAGATCTTAATTTTTGGAATCAAGATCTTACACGAGTATTGAGAAACATGTTTAGAGATTGAAATTAAAAAAAAAAAAAAAAAAGGTTTTATGTTCGTTTCATAAGCTTGACTGGCCAATCTATCCGCATATTCTCCGATGGCCAACATGGAATCAAATTGCAAAACTAAGCACAGAAACAAGTTGTAGTCTCAAGTTCTTCTATGGCAGGATCAAAGTTCGAGCAGAAACGAAAACCATCCAAGACTTGGCAAAAATTGTGGGTATTACCACAGATCATCATATATTACATACCATGTCGTAACAATCGAAGGTTATTGACATGCCTCTGAGATCCATTTGTACAAAGAGGTCAGGGGAGGAGGAATACCTAAGCTAGACATTTTCGTCATCGATGCTAAAGCACAAGATTAGAATACAAAAAGGCACAATAGAATCCAATAGAAGAGAAAAACTGATATTCTATTTAAAGATTTGTGAGCTTGTATCTCCTGCCTTCTCACCCTGGGGCTGGCACTTCCCTCTGCATGGTATGAATTGGGAAATGTATAAAAGCTCTCCCAGTTACCAAATGCCCTAGCATATATCATCTCTCCATAGTTTCCATTCATAGGATGACAAACCGCCAGTGGGACCGTTAGTGCAGGTGAACTGGAATCCTCACTCTCACTCGGGGCTGTCGGCTCAGTTTGTAGATTCAGGTAAGGACTGTTAGATGGCAGCTGTTGGCGAAGATTGGCGGAAGTCGTCTGAGCTAGTCTAGCAGATGCGTTTGGTCTAGGAGGTATTGCCATGATCTTACTTGAAGAGGTCACTTTGTCGTCAGACACAGGTTCAGAGAGGCTTCGGCCACGGCCATAAAGGGGCACAAGGGATTCTTGGGAAATTTCGGCCTTGCAAATTGGGCAGTATGTGCACTCATCTTGAGTAAGAGAAGACATCTGCAACTCTAGCCACTTATAAATGCAGGGCCAACAGTAGAGGTGCCCACAGAAGGTAACAACTGGATCGTTCGCTGATTCTAAGCAGATGCTACAATCAAAGCAGGCAGATGCCCTCTCGGAGTCTGCTATTTTTGAAGCGGGGATGGATTTCAAATCTTGTGCCAGCTGTTGCTCAAATTCCATAGCCATGATTTGACAATCTTCTATCAGCCTAGGATTGTTTTGTCTGAAAAGAGACAATCAGAAAACAACAATGTTTTTTTTTAGTGCCTCGAGAGATTAGCATTCGTAAACCGAAAACACAAGTAGAGGTCAAAAGAGCATCAAGATTGCATATGGAGACCAACAAGTCAAGACATGGCTAAAAGATGCTTGACGGCCAAATAAGTTAGGAAGAGATGAGAAAATGCATCTTTCTTGGGTACAAGTACAGCTCAGTATGTTTAGTCGTGTTTGGTGGTTGGGTGTTTAAAAAATATCCAAAAACATGTTGCATGAATCAACATAACTAAAGGGCCCATCAGCACGAATTTAGTAAACAAACAAAGGATGGAGGCAGGCCTCCAAAAGATAATACATGTGATCCTTGACAGAAGACTCCTTCAAATTTCTGAATACTAGCAGCTCTTTAGTTTATTTTTTTTTTTCATAAATGAATCTCCAATTAAGAGAAAGATTTCCATCTCAACACCCTAGTGATCAACCAAATTGAAGACATTGAAAAGTTACAGGGAAAACTAGAAAGGTAAAAGGGCTTGGCTTCTGTTTCAGACAGGCGACAAAATTGGCAAGCAAAGCATAGAAGTTTCAGACATACATATAATTCCCAAGTGGTCCTATACACTATACAGTAGCATATCTTGTAAAATTTAAGAGAAAAATCAAATCTTGAAGATCTCCGCAGAAATCAATTCAAATACTACCTTAATACCCTTCATCCATGCAAAATCACCAACATCTATCCCAATAATTCGTTTCAATTCGCATACTAATAACCAACTAAAAAGCTCAGCATCACAATTCACAAGCAAAAACCAATCCTTAAAGAAATGGATCTAAGTGAATATTCCGCATTAACTTACAGAAAATTAAATTTTACATTAACATGATCTTCAACAACTATGCAAAATTAGTCTCTTGCTCCAACATGTTAACGTAAAACTTGCAGAGCTACCACATAAGGCCAATACAAAAGTTCCCCAGACTAACAAAAGAAAAAAAATACTAGCCAAGGATACACAATAAAGATGATCAAGGATACACACCTAAAAAAAAAAAAAATTGATGGATCCTTGTTCCAAGAAGGAGCTGTTCAGCTTTCCAGTGCTTCAATGGCTCTTCTTGAGAGAAGATCTGATAAATCTGGAGTTGTTCAGAGAATCTCAGGAGAAACCCAGTAGAATTTTTTCAGGAAAAAATGAGAATGAGTGTAAACTTGATGAAGTTAAGGTGGGGGAGCGGAGGACGGTGGTGGTGGTTGGCAGTTGATGAGCTGATGGCCTTACTCTTTGGGGAGTCTTGGGAGTTAATAGGGGGCTAAAATATATATACACAGGTGAAGAATTTCTCAACAGGGGAAACTAGTGGAGTTGTATTTTTTATTTTCTTTAATTTTTTTTTTTGTGGTGCCGTTTGTTTGATGGGCTGACGTGGCATTTTGTTACGGGTGAGAACGAGGAAATACACGTGCGCTACAGTCTATGTGTTATATTGTCCTTGTCACCGGTAGCCAAATCCAGGACGAAGCTTCTATTTTCTTTTTCTTTTTGTTACTTTCTAAGATAATATTAAATGGCTAAAATGTGACTTTTTATGCTTACTCGGTTAAAATCTCAGAAGGTGGTCGTGTTTTTTTATTTACCTATGTGGTGTATATATTTTTCGAAAAGTATATTTAGATTATTTACTAATTTTTCCTTGGAACCACAAAAATTTAATAATATAGCTAAATATGTGCGTGGATCAAGCAGTATAAGTGTATAACTTATAAATAAGCAGTATATTTGCAAGCAGTACAAAAATAATGTACAAAAGAGAAATTAAAAAAAAGAAAACCACCAAAAGAGATCGAAAGACAGTATGCTCACATCGTTTCAAACATCGAAAAGACTTATCCAGTTAAATAATTTGATTATATTTTAATTATGTACTAGTTTTTAGCCCCGTTATATGAATGGGACTGCATATAATTTGTTGAATGATTTTAAAAAACAAAAATGATAAGTTGATTGAGAACAAGATTTAGTAAGGTATAATCGAAATGAATATATATAAGGCAAAAATTAATAAATTGATTGAAAGTTATTATAAATAAGGAAGTAAAAAAAAAAGAAAATTAAATGTTACAGCAAAAAGATAGATAATTAAAAATAAAAAAAATACCAAACATTAAAGAGATCCACATGGCAAAAAGATAAATAATCCATTTGTCAGAACGTGGATATATCCAGTTCAACAAGTTACCATATATGTAACTAACTGAAAACATCATTTTATTTCATATATATATATATATATATATATATATATATATAATCAATTTTCTATACACTAGCACTATATATAGTTTAATCATTGGATGCATAATACATAATTTATATTTAAATTTAAA